TGCCACCTCTTGTTTTGATAAAACAAAAAGCTTTGAGACTTAGAGAGACCTCGGACTGTTGTAAGCGCGCTATTACTGTTCACGCACTGTGATCTCATTGAAGAAAACAATTACATTTGTTGAATACTACTTTATCGCATTATAATCCCCCCATGAACTAAGAGTTTTGTGTGTGTGTTGGTGTGAGTGTGGTCAGTGGATAACGCTCTGCTGTATCCGTTTTCACCTTGCGCGCACTCAGGTACTCTTCATCGCTGTCCTCCCCTAGGAGGGAACCTGCGAGCTGGTCGGAGGTGAGGGGCCTGAGTCATAGTGTCGACGGGGAGTCCCCCGGCGTTACTGGGTCCCGCGTCGCCCTCGGTGATTCGCTGGACTGGTACGGGTGGAACTCCATAGTACCTTGTTCCGCCCGCTGTTCTTGCTCTCTCCAGTTCCTCGCTATAGAGGCCGAAGTTTCTGTAGAACTCCGGAAGGAGGAACTGGTGGGTGACCCGACTTCCCAGGAATCGTCGGAGGGCGAGGTTGGAGACGTGGGCATTGTTGGGTACCCGGAGCCCATAGGCGTCAAGTACTGAGTCAGCGTCAGATGTGATGGTGTCTGTTCTGCTGGGGTACTGTAAGTCTGGAGGGGAAGGCCTTCTTCCCCTCCTCTCGGCTTCGCTTCTGGTGACTGGGCTTCCTGGTCTGGTCCAGGGGTCTCCATCGGAGGGTGGCTTTCTGAAAGAGGACTCAGGTCCCGAGGACTGGAGCTTGTACCCTGCAGGGGAGGCGGAGCCCATCCTTTCTGCGTCTTCTCATCTCCTTCGTGCTCACCCCTGTCGGTCGTACTCGGCTTCCTCATACTCCTGCTGGGCCTGCTCCTGCGTGTACTCAGCGAGCTCTTCGCGGGCTCACTCTTCTTCTGCTCTACACTGCTGGGCCTGCTGCTGCTGTCATAGTGCGCTGTTGTAATCAAATGGGACGGTAAGGTTCCAATCCAGGAATACCCTCCGGATAATCCTGTCCCTTGTGATCCTTCCCCTTGCGCTGGTGGTGCCAACTTCTGGCTCGCTCCCGACGTGGAGATGTCGGTATGGGTCTCCGGCTGCCGAGATGGCAATTTCGATATTGGCATAGTTGGGGTGTATGGTTCTTCCATGGGGATCCTCGATCCCCAGCCTGCTGACGGACCTGCTGGAGTCAGAATTCGGCTCGGTGGGCTCATAGAGAGAGTCTCAGGGCAGGTTGGGGGGAGTCCTGGTTCTCGAAGCCACCCGAGAGGCATCACGGGAGTCCCGAGCGTGGTTTCCAATCCCTGGGGTGCGAGAGGCAGTGGAAGGGTTACTGGGGATTGAAGGGAGGTCGTGGGGGATCTCCTGGGTGATCTGGGGGACCATCATGGTCTATGGGTTCCGGAATCCTGTGAGGTTATGGTCCCGGTTTCTACTGTCAGATCGTCAAGGAGGGTATCAGTGTCTTTCTTCTTCTTGAGGGCTCTCTGTATCCTGGCGGCTATGTCCGGCTTCTGGTACGGGAAACTCCTCTGGCTGGAAGGTCGTTCTGGCAGAGGGGGGGATGTCATGGAAAGAGAGGTCTGGGGTTACGTTTCAGAGGATGTGTTGGATCTGTTGGAATGCTTGGTAGTGCCTGACAATCCAAGCGGTGATTGATTGTCGCCCTCGGCAACAAGTAATGATGGCTAGAAGACTGAGTAGCGTTCCGATGATGGAAGCTATTAACTCAAAGAAGTCGTGGTTTAGGTCGTGGGTTGTGGCTGGAGTCATTCGGTTTCTCAGCACAGTTGGGCTTGAGAAAGGGAAGGAGGAAGCTTCGAGCTAATTGTTAGGCCCAAGCGTCACATGGACAGATACACGTGATAAATGGATGTTCCTTCACACTTCGAGGAATCAACCGGGTTCACTATAGTATATCTATTTGTTGTGACTCAAGGTCAGATGTAGACTCGAGGTAGAATGGTGTGTATAAACTTTAGCTCGAAGCTGGGTTTCTCCAGCGAGAGCTATGAGCCTTAAATACTGTTTGTGTAATATTAAAAATACTACTACTTATTGTGTCGACTTGTGTCCATGGTGCCCGTTGTCCTTGAGCATCGTTGTTATACATAAAAGGGCGGCTACATGTCGTCAAGCATCGTCGTATGAGTGCGGAGAATAGGCCTTTTGTGCTGACCAATCTCTTCCCACCATGCTCTGACTAAGCGTAAATAGGGGTCAGAAAGCAAGCTTTAAGGGAAAAATCGTAACATCTTTTCACTTTCTATAATTGAAGGCATTAAGATTGTCAAAGTCTTTTTTGATTGTATCAAAGGATAGTATGATATATATGGTGATATTGTTGTAATAGTAAAGTGACTGATAGAGAGATAGCAGAATACAAGCAAGATATTAAAAAAAAACTCAAAATAAGCTTTAAAACATGGGGCCTATAATCTGTTGCAGACAGATTATTTGCACAATAAATAATAGCTAGACTGAGTATATCAGTCAATTGCTTAAAGAAAATTAACTGTCAACTCAAAGTAAAAACTGTCTATGCTTGTATTGACATTGAGTATTTGTGTTATCTTACAATAACTGCATATAATACTCTGAAAAAAATATAAGTACTCAAATTCATCAGAAACAAACTTATTATTTTTGCCAAGTAGCTCATTGCCACTCTCTGTTAGCACTACAAGATTCAATTTAACTTTCTTTGTAAATTAACTCTATCTTTCTCTTCATTATAAATTACCACATCAGCTGACTTTATAGCCTATTTTTTCTTTTTCTCTATTGGCTTCACTATTTTCTATTTTTCTTTATAAATTTTTTTTCTCCTCTTCAACATTCTCTTGACTTTTTTTCTTTATCTCTGTCTACTGTCTCTTAATCATGCTCAAATGATATTTTGTGAGATTAACTACTAAACATAGATCAGAAATTTATAAATAATATTTGCAAGCAGCTTTCACTTCTCTTGTTTTAGCTTTAGCTTGCTTCTATATCTCTTCTTTCAATCTTAGCCTTTTCTGTTTTTTTTCTTCTTTACTCTCAACTGCTTCTGCTCTTAGCAGAGCAACTCTTTTTTTTTTTTTATTATCTTCTGCAATGCTCTTACCTGTTTTGTATAAGCTGTATATTTCACTTTCACTTGTGTTTTATATTTTTTTTTAAGCATACTCTGCTTTTCATCTTTAATGTCACTTTATGGCCTTTTGATGTTTGTTCTCTATTGTAGCCTACTCCAGATAAAACATTTCTTGCTTTTCCTCTAGATTATCTAGTATTAGTGCTTACATAAAGAGCTCAGAAATGATAAATAATTGATATAATATAATATTAGATATGAGAATAAAAAATAATAAGAATAAAATAAGCTGGCAGAGATAGTAATAGTAGTAATTCAAGTTGCAAAATTTCCACACTTATGCAAAATTTTTCTATTTGTCTCTCCACTGGCTATTGGAATTTATGCTTTTGAAAGCAAAAATACTAAAAGAGAAATACTATTATACACATGCTAATAGCTCTGTTTTACATCAACAAAACACAAAACTGCTGTCTCTTAGATTCTATTGGCCTCCAGCCATCTACTATTCCTCTTTATTTGATTTTCTCTTAATATTTCAGATCTATATTTTATATTTTAAATTTTCAACTTAAAGTCAGTAATGATTAGTTAGCATTGAGGTCTATCAGACTTCAACTCAGAATTAGTTATCACTAGTATATAAGCCATGTACAGTTATTGTAGATACTCAGTTTGAATATCAACTTGGATAACTAACATTCTTCTTACTCACTCATTGAGTTCTCTCCTCCATCTGATGGATTCTGCTCTGAAGGATATCTCTCTTCTCATCTCTTCAACAGACTTTGTTCTGTTATTCTAACTCCTTAGACATTAACTCAAAAATGACATTACTAATAGCTTCATTGACATCTATATATTTTGCTGGTCTCTATATATACATTCAACTTCATCTTATTAGCATGTTTCTAATATTATGACAGCCTCTGTTTTCAGTTGATGAAAGTCTCTTTCAGCTTGTTACAGATTTTTGGGCTTTTTATATCTAACTTCTTGAAAGAAATCTCAACTCTAGAATTCAGCATATGTTTATAGAGATCTTCTATCATCTCTAATTGAATTATGGATGTGCTATACTTGTATTTCTTATAATGATTTTTTTTCATGTCTGCTGGCATTTTTGCTTTTTTAGCAGTCATGTCTCCAGCAAATGCAGTATCCTTCTTAAAATCTTTAACAGATTTGTCCACTACTGCCATAGATGTATGTGCAGATTTTTGAACAGATGACTTACTGGTAATGAATATGAAAGTGAATGGCTGGTTGACTCCTACAGATAAAATAACAACTTTCATCTTTTTGAAGGACTTATCTAATTTCTTATCTGCAGACATGTCTTCTTTCTTATTTTTTATTTAGATCTTTAGGATTTGTTTAAGCACTCTTATAGCTTGATTTTCTTTGTCTTTTTTGGATTCAGATTTCTTATTCAGATAGGCCATTAATTGTGAAGCATAAATCTCTGCATGTTTTTCATATAGATTTATAAGCTAAAAGAGGATAACTGTTGCATAAATGTTTGTGTTCTTTATCTTTGGACTGAATCTGAGCAGATACATGACACTTATTGTACTTGCACAATGCTGAATTGATATTATGTTAATAGTCATACATGCATTTCTGTTATTCTCATGCTACTTTTTGATCTGTTGTCTGGGATATTTATTGCCTCTGAGCAGCTTGAATCTATCAGACATAATTAGTTTTCTTTTGACATAGTCAAACTTGATCCATCCTTTATTTTGATCTGCCTTTTTAGCTATACAATTTCTATAGCTAGTGTTATATTTATTATATCTGTGTTTCTTGCTTGAGTTGTTCTTATCTGCCAGCTTATTAATAGTAGTCAAGAATCTTTTTTCTATAGTCAACTCAGTTTCTAGATAGTAGTCAAGAGTTTTTCTTCTATAGTAGACTCAGTTTTAGATACTATATCTAATTGCTAACTAGGCAATGGTGTAGCTTGCAAATTAGATTGCATTGGTTGTAATTGCATGTATCTATATAAGTTGTAGTATACCAAGAAGGAATCTATAGCTGTAGTCTTAAATACCTGATCTATGATATTCAAGATATTTCTTTTTGGCATCACTATAAACTGTTATCCATATAGCAAAAATATATGTATTGCTGATACTGGAGCATCCACTTTAAAAGAAGATAAAAATTCCAAATTAAAAAAAAGTAATATAGCAAGACTCAGATTAACATAAAGAGACCTATAGTTTTTCAGCTGATATTTAGCTGCTTTGTGAACTTCTTTGATTGAGAATAGTTCAGCTAAATTTTGATATAAAAATCTTATGCTTTAAAAAGAGTGAGTCTAAATCTATTATGAGGTTTAAACTAATATTCTGGATAAATTTTTCAAAATGTCCAAATTTATTAAGTATAAAAATAGATAAGATCTGAAAGATTTTAGCAGCTTCTTCTAAATATGCAGGTATACACCTTCACATCTCATTGGATTTTAGATAGAAATTATAGCATTTCTGTTTAAAGAAACTTCATATTACTCTTTTCTGAGTAGCTAAATTAGCTTAAAACAATTTTCTCCACAGGTCTGCAACTATTGGATCCACATATAAAATAGCTGCCTAGATGAATTATTAATAAGTTTGCTGACTTAAACTTTTACATATTCAAAGAAGATTGTTAGTGTTATTGAGTTTTTTGATCTTTTTTATCTTTAGCTGAAAGCTTTTCCAAAGTCTCTAATGAGTAGCTGTTAGGCTGATATATATGCTTGTTGCTGATTTGCTATATTAAAATGAAGGCGAATTTTTCAATTTGTAAACCAGCAATATATTCTAGTAATTGAAAACAGGGTTGGTGTAGATAGAAGACTCAGATCCTTTTTCTTATCTGACTAAGTTTTGAGCTGAACATATTGAAATAGATTCAACTGATATTTCTGCATATCTGATATCAACTTTAAATAAACAGAGAGTCCTGCTACTTGACTAGTAGTAGGTGAGATTGGTAATAATGGATCTGATGTCTCAAGGATTGTTTTAAGATTCTCATTATATGTTAAAATAAAAAAGATGTCCAGCTGAAAATAGTGATTCACTATCTAACACAATTTGAAAGAGGTTTTACTTATTATTTACTCTGTAACTGATGGCAGCACATGCAATTGTCTGTAGTGCTTCTACTTCTCTTTGTTGTATAGTAGAATGTAGAATACTTTTTTTACCAAAAATTATTGAATTTATCCTGTCTCATAGTGTGATAAATATAAATATATTAGTAAAATAAGCTCAAGCATCTGCTATAAGAAAAGACAGATAAGGTATAAGTAAAATAGAAAAAGAATAAGAAAATCTGAAATTGCCTCAAGCTGTTCACTTTGTAATATAAGATTCAAAGATTTCTAAGTATGCTTATAGCTTTTACTTGTTGAAAACCAGCAGAAATTTATTTCTTCACCTTGTATTGTAAAAATTTATCCTTATTTATATACAATATTTTTTTAAAAATATTGCTAGACATAATTTAGAGACTAAAATTATGACAGCAGAAGGTAAACAAAGCTTCAGTTCTCTCACAATGTCTGTATTCAGGCTGTATTTATACTGTACAATCTATGTTATTTTTAGTAAAATATCTTGGAGGTAATACAGTTTTTTTCTTAATATATTATCTTTGAATTCTCATTTTTTTATTTATAGCAGATACTATTACAACTTGAATAAGAAATGAAAAATGAAAAAAGTTGAAAGAATGAAAGTAAAAGAATATCAGATGTACACTTAATTCATTGATTGAAAGCTTTATAGAATGAGAAAACTTATGTATATTGAATATTTTTAAACTGTTTTTTGTCTGTTAGATAACTCTGTCTATAGTATGTATCTTGCTATTTATAAAATGTGAGACTGTGATTAGTATTTTCTGTCAAATGCATGTTGAAGCTTTGAATTAATTTGTCTATACTCTTCTTTATACTTTTATATAAAAAATAAACTATTAAAATCTATAAGGCATTCATAAAAAATCTTTAAATACAATTACAAATACATATTGAAGAGGCATTTTAAGATAAAATGAAAGATACTCAAGACACATTTTACATTCTTATTTTTGATAATAATAAACTCAGATGTATGCTATTAATATATATTACCTTATGACTAATCAATGATGAGAAATCAGATACTAGAGTGGCTTTCCTTTGTCTTACTACAAACAATCTTGTAATCATTACTCATTGACTCTTCTTTGATTCTCCTCTTTATTTGACATTAATTCTCATTTTTATACTGCTAAATAATTACTTCAATATATATATAATATATAAGAAACTATGTTGACTTTTAGTTTATGAGGGTTGAATCAAATAAGACAATCAGTCAGTTTGCAGGAAATCAGACAATGAATGGGATCTAGAATAAGATTCAAATATATGTCTATGAAATAATACATTATTTTATAAAGCTTATACTGAAATACAGAGACTTGATAGAAAAACTAAGCTAATTTATTTATAATGTTTTTTAGTAAAATGAATTTAACAAAATATAACAATAATCCTAATCTAGAGAATACAGCAATATTATGCATGTCATCATTCTTGATATGCTTTAAGCATATCTTTTTCTGAATGCTGATCAATGTGATGAACTGAGCATCAAAACAGTGAGTATCTTTAGACTAAGCAAAAAAGCAGATGCTGTATGTGACTTCAATATTCAATATGTTTAGACTAGTAACTAAGTGGGTGAACAAAATGATAGCTTAAGCCAAAGTGACAGAGATAGTATCCACATTAAAGACCTATAATGTTGCCTGCTGCTCTTTCTGTGGCTGAGTCTTATCAGATGAAGAGCATATGTCATCTATAAGCCTTTGGATATATAAATGCTGGAAATCATGCTATGCTAATTAATGCAAAATAAATAAATCAAAAGTGAAAATAAATCAGCATCAATATTTTTATTTTCTATCAATTTTAGAGAATGTAAAAATTGGCTTTTACTACTATGATTTCTATCAGTTCTCCTGTTTTTGTCATTTCAGCTGCCATATCTCACTCATCATTGTCTATAATCTCTATCCTCAACTTCTCTTCCTCTAAAGACAATATTAATGATCCTATTTTTATCTGACTTCACTTTTACCATCCTGTCAGAAAAAAAATATATTTAGATTTGCATTTGCATCTACTGCAGCTTTTATAAATATCTTGATTACTTCTCTCCTAAATCTCAATCAAATTTATACCAGCATGATATTATCCACTTGCTATGCTGCACTACAATTTTATGAGCATCTAATTTTAGCTTTTTCAACTTTAAAATTGTCACAGAAACAATATGAACTGTATAGCAAGTACTTCACTCTTGAAATGCAACAACTGTTTGTTGTTCTTTCACTAATCAAGAATGAAATTATTACATAATCCACCTAAAAAATAGTCTCTATTGTATACAAATAATAATTTGAAATATGAGACAGATAGGTATCTGTTGTCTCATCTCTAGAATATTTATATAGATAGATGTTTACTCTGTCAGAGACAGATTGGTCAGTAGCAGTAGATAACCTTATAAAGCTATTTAGAATGACATTAGATACAAAAGAGAGAAGTAATTTAACTAAAGAAAGAAAATCAGCAGGGCAAACAGAAGATATCATGCTAATACAGATCAGATTGATATTTAAAAGAAGAGTAATCAAGGTGTTTATAAAAGCTGCAGTGGATATAAATGCAGATCTGAAGGTTTCAATATTTAAAGAAAAATATTGTATATAGACAAAGATTAATTTTTATAGTACAAGGTGAAAGAATAAATTTTCACTAGTCTCTAGGAAATAGAATTTACAAGTATACTTAGAAATCTTTGAATTTTATATCACAAAGTAGACAGCTTAAAGTAATTTCAGATTTTCTTATTCTCTTTTTATCTTATTTATGCCTTATTTATCTTTTCTTATAGCAGATGCTTGAGCTTATTTTACTAATATATTTATATTCATAGCAGATTCTATTATATTTATTCTAAGCAAATAGATTTTTCTCTAGCATTTATAAAAGATTTTGTAGATATAAATACATATTTTTTGACTCAAAGAGTTTTGCTAGTTTTACAAATAAAGCACACTATGAGAGAGAATAAATTCAATAATTTCTGGTGGAAAAAGCACTCTATATTTTACTACATAAAAAAAAGAAGTAAAAACACTAATAAACTAAAAAGTTGTTAGATTCTTTATAGACAAAAAACATAAAACCTATAATAGTTAGAGAAATTAAAGCACAAAATCTAAAGATTGATACAGATGAGTTTAATCAAATACCTTCATATGATAACTATAATCTTCAAGAGAT